CCATTAATGATCTGGAAAATAAAATACCATGATGTTACTACTAAATATATTTCGTGTCCGTTTACCCTAGTGGGTCATAGAGCCGCTTTGGTGATAATTACAAGGAGAGAATATAAACCATAAAAATGTTCTGTGTCATTAGCACTACAACTATGCTTTGAATAATTTTGATTAAAATATTTTATATTTAGACATATATTGGTACTGATCCTTGTATAACGCGTTGAATATGTTTCCAGTCTACGCTATTTTTTGGGTTGGGAAACAAATATAAATATAATTTTTTGTATTATTGCAGGATAACCACTTTTTCAAATAATAAAAATATCGGCAGCTTCATTTCTTACTTTGAAACTCTGTTTTATTTTCGTATAAAGCTTGAAATAAACTCAGAATATCATAATTTCGTAAAAAAAACTTCCCAGTATACATTAAATTTTATTGAAAAATTTCTTATGTTGAGCCGATAAACAATAAACCCCTAACACAATCACTTCCCTTACAAAATGATTTTTTTCACATAACGTTCAACTCTACACATATAAAAACATGTGAAACTATAGCAAAGTTATATCATATATTATTAAAAGAAAGATATTATATTTTCCCAAGGTATTTCATTATTTATTTAAATTTCACTTATTATACAGCATTTCATTTCTTTTAACCGCGATTATTTCTGCCGCTAGATCTACCACCGGATCTGCCACCGGATCTTCCACCAGATCTACCACCAGATCTTCCACCAGATCTACCACCAGATCTACCACCAGATCTTCCACCAGATCTTCCACCAGATCCACCTCCAGATCCGCCTCCTTGACGGCCACCTTGGCGACCACCTGAGCCTCCATCACATCCAGAATCATCACTGTCACTCGAAGAATCAAACTCAGATTGAGCCATAGTCTGCACCGCAAAAATGGCCAAAAGTACGAAGACAAACAAGATAGTCAATTTCATTTTTGGTTTTTAATTAGTTCTTTAACTTTAAACAGAACAAATCAGTATGAATAGCAATGTATGAAAAATCTTTGGTATTTATACTAAACCAAAGCTGAGCAAAATTTTATCATGCATTTATGACGTTTATTTAATCAGTTGGAATTCAAATTCGAACAGCATAATCACCATGAACTAGAGCCAAATATAGCTTAAAAACTTTCTTATAAACAATTTCTATTTATGTATTTCTGAAAAAGTAAACAGCATTTATAACGCAATACAACAATGACGTCATTACTTTAAAATTCATTATATAATAAAATTTTTTGTAATAGATATTGTTGGTTTCTGTAGTACATCTGAAACAGATTTTATTCAAAAATAAATTCTTAGTAATGCAAATAATTTATGAGACGCAATTAAAAAAGTAATTGTTGCGATATTTATTTTTATTGGTTTTTATCCAATCGAATTTTCATTTCAAGACATCGCATGTATATTAAACAATCTATAGCTCAGAAAGATAATATTGATTTAAGAGTATTAATTCGACTTATTTACAATTTTTTCTTCTTTAGCTATTTATATTGATGACACAAACAATTTAAAATATTATACACTATTGCCCCTTTTCAACTGTGGACTCAATCTTTAAATTTCCTTTATTGTATCTTTAGGTGAGAGATTAACTGAGTACTAGCATTTCTAATTAGATACAACTGGTCATAAGATACCCAATTTTTGTTCATATTATCACCAAAAATATAAATGAAAATGTTAATAGATTCTCCACCCAGTTTTTGTGCATATTATTACCAAAAATGTGAATGAAAAGCCGTGTTCAAACTGCATTAATTAATTGAAATCTTATTATATATAACTGTCGCTTAATTTTATTTGTATCTTTTTAGATTCATAAAAGTTCATTTGGTTGAAAGGGCGAATGTTGACATAAGTGTCAGTGATTCCCTCGGCCACCACTACTTTCCTTTGTGATCCCTTCAAAGTTGTCTAGAAAAAGCAAATCACACTAACCGTTGTTGTGTTCTGGTATTATTTTTTTGAAGTCACTTGATCTGCTTTTAATATTTTTGTCTGACCTAAAAAAATTTTAAGAGTTTTGGAGATTTTGTGATCGTATTACTAAAAACATTGCCTATAATAAGGACACAATATTTTTGTATAATTTCAATACAAAAAAACACAAACCCGTCGATCAACGAACCGCTACCAGTCTGTGTCATTAGCACTTCCAATGCATTAAATAGTTTTGATTTGAAAATTTTATATTTAGACATATATTGGTACTGATCCTTGCATAACGCATTGAGTTTTTTCCAATCAGCGCTACTTTTTGTATTGAGAAACACTGATCTTAAGTTCATAAACATAATTTTTTGTATTATCCATTGGCAATTGCATGCATGAAGACAACTGCTTCAAATAATGAAGATATCATTTGCTTACAGCTGCCCCATTTCTGACTTTAAAAACATTAAAACTTTATGTCTTACTTTTAAATAAAGGACAAAATTAACTCAATTTCTACAAATTGACAAAATTATTATAATTTCTAAAAAAAAACCTTCATAGTAAACAATAAATTTTATTGAAAAATTTGTTATGTTGAACCGGTAAACAATAAACCACTAACACAATGGATTTTTTCACATAACGTTTAACTCTACACATATAAAAACATGTGGAACTATAGCAAATATGTATCATATATTATTAAAACAAAGATATATATGTATACATTTTTATTTTTTTATTTATTTGAATTTCATTTACATCATTTCATTTCATTTCTTTTAACCGCGATTATTTCTGCCGCTAGATCTACCACCGGATCTTCCACCAGATCTACCACCAGATCTTCCACCAGATCTACCACCAGATCTACCACCAGATCTTCCACCAGATCTTCCTCCAGATCCGCCTCCTTGACGGCCACCTTGGCGACCACCTGAGCCTCCATCACATCCAGAATCATTAGAATCACCAATGTCACTCGAAGATTCATCATATTGAGCCATAGTCTGCACCGCAAAAATGGCCAAAAGTACGAAGACAAACAAGATAGTCAATTTCATTTTTGGTTTGTAATTAGTTCTTTAACTTTAAACTGAACAAATCGCTATGATTAAAAATGTATGAAAAATCTTTGGTATTTATACTTCTTCAAGCTTCTTTCAAACATATCTCTTCATAAGGAACTAAAGCTGAGCAAAATTTTATCATGCATTTATGACGTTTATTTAATCAGTTGGAATTCAAATTCGAACAGCATAATCACCATGAACTAGAGCCAAATATAGCTTAAAAACTATCTTAAAAACACTTTCTATTTATGTATTTCTCAAAAAGTAAACACCATTTATAACGCAATACAATAATGACGTCATTACTTTAAAATTCATTATATAATAAAATGTTTTGTAACAGATATTGTTGGTTTCTGTAGTACATCTCAAACAGATTTTATTCAAAAATAAATTCTTAGTAATGCAAACAATTTATGAGACGCAATTAAAAAAGTAATTATTGCGACAATTATTTTTATTGGTTCTTTATTCAATCGAATTTTCGTTTCAAGATATCGCATGTATATCAAACAATCTATTTATAACAGCTCAGAAATATAATATTGATTTAAGTGTATTAAGTCGACTTATTTACAATTTTTTTTCCTTTGGCAGTTTATATCGTTAATAGGTATATACGACTTAAAATATTATACACTATTGCCCCTTTTCTCAACAATTTTTAAATTCCCTTTATTGTATCTTCAGTTGAGAGATTAACTGAGTACTAGCATTTCTAATTAGATACAACTGGTTACAATTTTTGTTCATATTATCACCAAAAATATAAATGAAAATGTTAATAGATTCTGCAGATTTAAACTATAGATCAAATCTACTAAATCTATAGGATAATAGCTATAACTACCATTTCAAATTCTTGTGATGCCTTGTAATTACCACATTTGCATTATCCTTCTCTTTTTGTGAATCTGTGTCTAAAAATATGCCGAGTATTAACTTAGAAATTTCATCCACAAACTGTCAACCTTTTTAAATGCAATAATGGAATGATCCTTACTTGTCTTAATTTAACAAGATATGTTCTAAACTATATTAAAAGCTACTACCAGATGGTACATCCTCTTGTCTAGCTCATTTTTGAAATGAATTTTATATTTTACTTTATTAGGTTTTGCGTTAATTGCGCTAATAAAAGTATCTCATCTTGTCCAATCTGGGATTCCAAAGATAATGATAATGTTAATGGTAACATAATGGTGAATACTTTGCTTAAAACTCCTACTCCTATTTCTATTGTGTTTCAAGTTTTATAAAACCTTATAATAGATTATATTGTGACGTCATTGACAAGAAATTAGTCAAAAAAATTGTCCTATGATAACTCCTGGTAACAAATACACATTTTTTTATTAACTGAAAACTCTTTCAATCTTTTCTAAACTTTTATTGTTTAAAATTTTATAGTTAATATATAATATTTATCTGTACATTAATTTGACTTTTTTTGAATGGGAAGTTTTATTTAAATTAATTTGTCAAATACAGGTTTCCAAACCTGACGAGTAAATAATTGGTCTGTATACTATCTTTTAGCTTTAATGAGTACCTTTCTTCTTATTTTGATTTCTTCTAAGTTCCTTTTTTTTTATTGTTTTTTTTCTATAAATTCCTTTCATTATATTTTTAATAATCTTGTATCTCCTAATTTAATAAGCACAAAATTTTTATAACAAGCTTTCAGCTATTGCAACATTGCCGACCTCCATTATATCACAGAAACATTTCAAAAATCATAATAATTTTACTTTAAAAGCAAAGTAAAATCACCGCTATACCACATTGCATATAATTCCGTAATAAAAAACACACAATTTTTAGTGCAAATCAAAATTTCAATACTAATCATAATATTCGATCATAAAATCAAGTAAAAATAAAAAAATTTTTGTAGTGTATAAATTATTTATTGTCATAACATTTTTCCGTTTTAAATATCATTTTGACTTAACCGCGATTATTTCTGCCATTAGGTCTACTACTAGATCTACCTCCAGATCTACCACCTGACCTACCACTAGATCTGCTACCAGATCTACCATTAGATGTTCCGCCTGATATACCACCAGATCTTCCACATGATCTACCATCAGATCTGCCTCCTCGATCTCCTTGACGACCACCAGTTCCACCTCTATCTTCTCCATCTCTGCCACCCTCATTTTCATCATATCCAGATTCACTATAATCACCAACTCCACTTTCCCTATTTTAAAGTTCATCGTATGCCAAAGTCGACGCAGCGGAAATGGCCAAAGAGCTCGAAAACAAAAAGTACAGTCAACTTTATTATTAGTTTTTACTAAATGTTGTAAGTTCCACAGAATAAATATAGTATATATAGTATATATCTTTTTGATATTTGCAAAAAAATGACGCAGTAAATATGACGCATCCAATATTTCATCAACGGTTTATGACGTGTATTCAATCAGTTTGTATAAATACAATAAATATTTATAGTTTGATTTATGTTTGGAAATCTCATGTATTTAATTAAAAATAAAAACACAATATATTTATGATTTTAATTATTTATTAAACAAAACTTCACATTAGTTACACTATTCAAAGACGGCATTTTTTCAATCTCAGTTTACCATTAGGAGATGTATAATGATAAGGATTCAAATTCTTCAAGCGGCGCGAGCTCTGATATATCTGGTTCTGAATCATCCATTGGATCTGCCTGTTCATCTGCAAGCTCTGGAGTTTCTGCCTCTACCAATGTCTTCAAATGAAGCATACACAATATTATTAACAATAAAACAAAATTATATTTCATTTTTTAGTTATGTTTAATCTTCCTAAATTTTATTTCAAATTTCTAATAAAATTTATATGTGCTCTATTCTTTTATATTAAAAGTATTTATTGACATTAAATTTTGCTCACTTTATTGACATATTTCGTTACTTATTTACTTAGTATTTATATGTTAATATTTAATTACAAACTGAATGTTTTTATTCAACATGAAACAAATAAAATTTAGCTTTGGCTTTGCCATGACTGTAATACCCTTCGTACGTTAAAATAATTACTCACTTAAAAGCAATTTTCTGGAACTATTGTTAATATATAGTTGGGTTGTTTTTATAACCAAAATGTATATACAAATTATATATAATAACATTAACTGATTCTAAAGCTTGCTTAGGTAAAGTAATCACCACTTTTTTTAAAACATACTAAACGAGTTAAAAGGGTTGAGCTCCTTGAGAATAGTGAAAGCATATTTTATACACATTTGTTTGAAAGGCTTGAGTGATCATTAATACAAGATATGCCATTCCATTAAAAACTCGATTGGATAGATTTTCTAATGGACTTTGTGTGTCTACAAAGAGAAGTATAATAACAAAGTTTATAGAAAATTAGTAGAGTACAAAAATAAGTTTAATAAATTGCTTTTCTTAAACCATCATATATTTACATAAATGTTTTCTGAAAATATTTAAAACAACAGTTTTCACAATTAAATTTGTTTAATAACTAAGAATTTAGATAGCGTTTATTGAAATACTGGGTATTCATATTTTAAATCTATAATTTTTAAAAATTGGGTGGTATAAAAACAACCGACGGTTTTTTGTCACCAGATTATGTTGTTACCCATTAATCCGATTGTCTCAAACAAGCACGTCTTCGAACAATGATATTTTAGGGATATGATATTGTTACGTAATCGCCTGCGTGATTATTCGAATCTCAGGATTTTGTAAAAAAAATGAAACGAACTTTTAATATTGGAGAATTTATACTTATTATATTTGTTGTATTACAAAGAACTAGTATTTACTAGGAATCAATTTAGTAAAACACAGCTTCATACAAAACAAATTCCAAACTAACTTTTTTTTAAAAATATTAATTGACATAATGTTTAAATAATATTTAAACATTTCATTGCTACTCTGATGAAATTCGTAACATTGCCCTCCTCTTAAATCTGTTCGTCCCGAACAGGAACTACGACATCGTTACAGTAAGGTGCCAGCGGTTCCAGATGCACCAGTTTCATTCGAGCTCTATGATGCCCCGACTATTGAATTCGATAAACAACATCATTGATCCTCGTTCCATCAGGGACAGGGGGGGTTCCAAACAACATCACAACATCTACATCAGAAACAAATTGCGAACACACACACCGTTCTCACTCAAGATTTTCAATATTTGCTTACTTATAGCTATTGGGTGGAGATTTTGAGTATCATCATCATCATTAGCATTTCAGTTTCTGGTCAGTAGGAGCCGTCTTCTGATAAATGGATGAATTTCATCTAATTGGTCCCGCTTACTTCCAGTGTAGTCACATGTCATCTTACCGCGAAGTGGCGTTATTCCGAATTTTAAGTCTGAGTCACCCTGATAAACCTCCATTTGTAAACAGCTGTCACTAATGCATCGAGTATGCCAATCAGGAATATACTGATCAACAAAAACCGCACCATCAAATATATCAATATCAGTTGTGTAATCCTCATTATTTGTTATATCCAAAACGAACAAGACATCCTTGACATCAGCATTAAATTCACTACCTGTAGCCAATACGTCATCTGTGGTATCCTCATCAATTGATAGAAATGAAACAAGACATTTCTATCAATTGTCACGTTCTCATCGTCTGTGAGGTCGACATCAACGTTTAACGGTATATCTTTATAAGATAACTTATGCGCGACCCACAAGCATAAGACGGTTGTGTAATTCATTACTTATGAGAAAAGTGAAAGATGCTGCGAGTAAAAACCGTACCCAAGCCCCATTTGCTCAATTCCGTTCCGGAAATTTCAATACGAGAAATGCACTTCGCTGGGGTCAACCAGTCACTAAAATGTCGAACAGTCCAATGAAATTTTCGAACTGGTAAAACAAGCCCAAAACCCAAGCCATCAGAAAACAACGAAGGCATTAAACATCAACCACAAGATAGTTTGGAATCATTTAAAGGACGCATGTTACACAAAGAAGTTCTATGTGTAGGCTCCATATGATTTAACGCGAGGAAATTTGATTTTTCGAATTACCATTAATAAAATAATGTTGAAATGCATCGAAATGGAGGCATTACGTGTGACGAAAAATGAGTTAAATAAAAGAATATCCAACATAAACAACCATCGGTGACGCTCCACAAATGTTTTAAAGCCTGGATTGACGAAAACAAGGTTTTGTTGAGTGTTTGGTGAGATTTCCATAACAGGCAATAAATTGTATATTATGAACTGTTCCAACATGGTGAAATGATTGACTCTACAGCTCACAATTCGACAACTTAAACGAAACGATCAAGAAAAAGAATTGACCAACCCGGTGTCCGGACCCTGCACCGGTTGACTACAGTAGCCAATATATAATTAATTAAAATTGATTATCAATAAAGAAAATGGGTTTATAAACATATATAAAAACCATCAGTACTTTTTATATCATCTAATATTTTATTTTTTGCACTCTAATTATAAAGAAGAGATATTTGATAGAGAGGTTAATCACCAAATAGTAAATATTTTGATAACTAATTATGCAGAAGAATTAATTGTTAGAAAGGTTAATCATCAAGTAGTCAATAAATAAATTCTTGAGGTTCAAAAAAGCACTTTCTATGTTATATCCCATTTATTTTTATATAGTCAACAATTTATAGAAGTTAAGAATTCCCCTTATACAATTAATTCCAATACATAAATTAAGTAAGTTCTTGAAAGATTTGGGCATGAATTTCTTGGAATTTAATAGTCTCCTTACATTTTATTTGGGTTCCTCAATGTGGAGTTAGTGCTAGCCTTTTGGAGTTAGACTGCCTTTTGAATTTATAGAATTTAACCTGTCCTGTTATATTAAGTTTTGGTTAATCTATTTGAATTTTATGTGCTCTGAAAAACACTCTTAATGCCTATTTAAGAGACAATAAATAGTTACTTATTTTCAGTTAAATTTTTATTGAATTTATAATGTTGGGTTAAACATTCAACTAATTTTGAGTATATTGAAATAATAAGTAACATTGTTATCATCACAGTTGACTTTATCTGCACTCAATTGTTATAATTTTTGTTTATTTTTGATAAATATTAGTTACATTTTTTGGGTACTGATGGACAGATTAAATTTAATGTTGTTTTGAAAGTGAAATTTAATACTATTTTTTAATATAGTTTATATAAGAAAGCATAAATTTTTCAAAATTCATTTATTATTGAAAATAATCAATATTTATTATAAACAAAATTGAATAGAACTATAATATGTTTAGTTATGTAAGTTTCAAAGTTCAACTCGTGCCATTAGTTTGTCAAACAAATAACCATTTTCAGTTTTGTTCAATATTTACTTAATAAATATTAGTTTTTTCTTAAAGAAAATATTTTTATTTATATATCTTATGTTACTTGAAATCTTATTCTCAATAGTTATAAAAAAAACACAAAAATTTGTGTAAGATAACAACAATTCAATAACATTTGTGTAAACTTCCGAAGGTATTTATTTATCAAGAAGAGGATTCAATTGATATAAAAATGGAAATAAATAAAGTAAAATATATGAAATTTAGTAAAATTTATCTGCTATGCAAAATATTGCTTTTCAAAATAGTACCAAATATATATATATATAATATAATATACAACATATATTGTAGAATTTTAATTTTTCATTCATTTATTATCCGTATTTAATTTTATGAAATTTAGCAAAAATATTGTATAGATACTATTTAACCTCATTCATAACTTAATATTAATATTAAAACTATTAACAGCTATTATCAGTGTAATACTTAAAAAAAAAATATACGCAGACATTTAATACAATGAGTTATATGTATAGCATAGTTAATTTTTTTTGAACGGAGATTCAACTTTTTTAGCTACCAACTTGCATACTAGAGGCTCATTAATAGTGCGCTTATAAAAGTGTTAAGAATAAATTTTCATAATGAAAACTTCTTATTCATAGCTGGTGTTTTTATTACCCCTTTTCAGCTATTTAACCCTTCTAAACATAAACTTAAAGTACAAAAATATGAAATGAGAAAATATTTACATAAAATGTAACTTTTGTTACTACCACATCAAAATGGAAGCATATTTTTGGGCGTGTAAAAATAAGGTATGTAATGTGTAATGCCATAATTCAGGTAGATGAGCGCTGAAAAATATCACGGGACATTAACTACCGTTTTATAGACTTACTTCGCGTCTTCATGTTGGCTCATATTTTTCTATTTAAATTGACGCTGATACACGTAAAGTTTATAACCTTTAAAAATTTTTATTTAAATATAAATCTGAAAAAAAAGTATGAAACCTTTTTAGACAAAGTTGCTGTTTACATTCATCAACAATAAAAATTACTTTGTTTACTTAAAATGCCACAGAGAAATTTAATGGCAACATACTTGCCACAGCTGCTTGCCACTCAAGTAAATTTAATTTAAATATTTTTGTTAAAGGCAAATAAACCATAACAAAGGGACAATATGTATGTAACAAGAGCAACAAAAGTGACTAAATATCAACAACAAAACATTAACGTCACTACCCGACACATTAGCAAACGTTTTCACTCACTTTCAGGAACATTTCAAATTTTTATCAGTATGAATGAGCCGAGCCGAGCCGAGCCTTACATATAAAACAGAATTCTCCAAGATTACAATAGACCCGCAGGGGAATGAGTACGTTGACTTTCAGTTCCAACTGGTTTCATTGTCTGGAATGGAAATTATCTAGCGCCATGTACGAGTATAAGCAAGCATAAATACCACAATGAACACAATAAACGTAATTTATTGTAAATAACTGCAAATATATCTTTTTGTGTAAAAATATAGTATATATATATATATATATATATATATATAGCAGTATGGTGGAAAAAAATGCAAATATGTGATAAAGTAATTTCATTATCCTTTCAGGCACTTCGTTGATATCGCATAAAGTCATTGATAATGTGGTTAAGTAGCAACGGTAGCAGTAGTCAGTCATCTTGAAATTATGCAAATGAGAAGCACCAGAGCGTTGACATTTTTCGTTGACGCAATTTTCTAGCTGATGAATAATAATAATAACACGAATACGGATGTTGTCGTAGCTATTAATAGCAGTATGAGTAGGTCTAAATACAGTGGAAATATACACATAAAATACATTATTGGCTCTTCTTTTATGCTACAAAAGTCAGTCTCGGGAATATGTGATTCCCAACGGAGACTATCGGAAGTGTTGTTTTTGAAATGGTACACAACTACTATTATAAAATATCTAAAATATTTTTAGTAATTAACTACTTAAACCACAAAGATAGTTTCTTGTTACAAAAATAAATAAAGTATTTTTATGTAAATATTTAAGCTAAAATCCGGATCTTACTATACAAAATTTAAAAAAAAAACCTTGAAATAATAATATAAGGTAGTATAGGATATAGCTAAAAGATAGTATATAAATGTGATTGTGATTTTGTATTTGTATTTATTGTATATAAAAGTATAATGTATAAAATAAGATTGATATATATTTCCCCATATCATTTCAAATGCTAGTTATATTATTTTTTTCATATTTTCAAATTAATTGTTTTAAAGAGATATTTTATCCCTACTTCAGCAGAACAGAGTTGAGGTTGCCTGTGAGATATTTAACGGATTATCATGGACTGCGTTATCACCTTAACAAAATAATTCTGTCCAAAGAAATAGATTGTCGACTCTGCTTAGAAGCAGACGACACCTCCCGTTACATTTTCTGTGAATGCCTAGCCTTGATCTGGACTAGGGAAGGTCACAGGGTCGAAAACTACTCTTCCATTTAGACATTAGGAGGTCCTCAACGGCCAACATTCTGGCTTTCATTCGAAAGACAAATATATTCCGTACATATTTTAGTAAGTGATATTAATAATATTTATATATTATTTTATTTTCAAATATTCTAATTTACTCATATTTAATTAAAATTATTAAATCTGATATGAACTATCTATAAAAAATGTAATATCTCCGACTGCTTGATTATTACATATACCACTCAGTCTGTTGTGAAAATAACTTGTGACATTATATGAATGAAATAAATGAAATTTTATCAATGCTTAATTTTTCACTTCTTATCTTATTTAAAAAAAAAAAAGAGATTTGCAACTTTTTTAAGGTCCTTATATTTTACGTTAAGTCTTTTGGGTTGAGTTGAAGTAAGTTCTTTATAGTGTTCAATCTAACATATAGCATTTATTTAGAAATTTCCTCACATATTTCGTATTTTACCTAAGATTTAGCAGCAATAAAATACAAAAAAATTATAAAAATAAAGTATTTTAAGTAACAAATATGATTTTATATAGCTTAGTCTGATAGCAAATTTATATGTAAAATTATTACAGACTTTCAAAAGACGATTAATAATTAACATATTAATATAATTGGGCAAATTAAACTTTTTATTATATTTAATTTATATACCCTTGAAATCTGAAACTATCATTCTAACATTTCAACATCGTTCTAACATTTCTATATCGTTCTTATAAAAAAATTTACTAATACCTTCAAAATAACTTTCTATTTGAGCTATCAGTGCTTCCCTCGAGTTAAAAGTCTTACCTATAGTTATTATTTTATACAGATACTGGTAATAGTCGATTCGATAATGACCAAACCTTAAGAAGAAACTGCTCATAGCGGTCCACTCGACTGAATACAGATTTG